TTCATGTTATACTTCTGATTTTACTCTACTATGCATAGAAATGAACTATTTCTTCCACCTTTTTCAAGCTAGAACAATTTGAATAGACTTTCTTCCATGTGATCAGATGTTCTATTCTCCAGAAGGATGGATATCTGACTGTGTGTGGTATTCTGATGATCTACTAAGCAGGGTGTGATGTTTTGAACTCCAGGAACATCTCTTCTGTCAATTTTTATCCCTAGTCATCCCAAAGTATTTTTTTAAAAATTGTTTAAAAACAAACTACTGAGTTTAGCAGTATATCACCTTATCACTACATTGATACATTAATTTAACGCTAGATCACCTTTGCACAGACCAAACAAAGCTATAAAGTGCCGATCAGCTGTTAAAATGGCTTTCTTGTGAAGCATTGGTCCCCAAAACACCCGTTTTGCAAGTCGCGGACCTAGCTGTGAAAATTGTTGTCTTGTGAAGCATCGACCCCCGGAAAAAGCCCGTCTTGCGAAGCACTGACTGAAACATCGTCCAGCGAAAATCGCCCATAGGAAAGACTGTTTTGCAAAGTGCTGTAGCGATCACAAAAACTCATCGTCATGCGATTCATCATTTTGCGAGGTCATTGTTTATAAAAGGAAAGCCAAGGATCAGCAGAGGGTGGGATCAAAGAAGATGGGTTATGGGTGAACTTTCCATTGCATAACAGAATTCGATCCCCTAATTTGTATGACACAACATTGTAATCTGGGGAAAAGACTGATACAGCTGTGGTGAAGAACATTTACATCATGGAGTTGCCATTCTCTTTTGTCAGAGGAACTAAGCCTTTTCCTTAACACTGTGACCATGTCTAGTGGTCTGGAGCATCTCTTGTTAGCTGTTTTGAAGGTGTTGCTTTGGGAGTCATAGTGATGTTGTGAAAGGCCTGGTGCTTCTGGGATGATGCTTTTGGGTCAATAAGGATGGCCAGCTCCCATTTAGTGCAGAATATGGACGGATTAAGTGCCAGAGAATGTCAGAGGCTGGGGAAGGTCAGATGCAAGGGGGTAAAAAGTGATGTAATCCACAGAGGAGGAGGCAGAATAGGAAAGATGGGAAGAAGGAAAGGGAGTGCAAGAAAATGTGGAGAATTTGGGAAGGTGGGTGCCTAGGGCACAGGACATATAAATATTCTGGCTATAAAGGCCATGATGAACCTAGTCTGGGACCAACCCATTGCTAGAAAGAAAAATGAGGAAGAGGTTTCTGTCCGATCTGAGAGGTTGCAGGGGATGACCTCATAGTTGAGATCTGAATGATAGTCTCAATGTCTCTGGAGGTTAAGACACTCTGAGCTTTAAAGAAAACAGGAAAGTAACAAAAGGGAGTGAAGTAACAACCATCTGGTACAGTGTGCATCCACAATGAAAGGCTGACTTCCTGCATGTCAAGTTTGTTTGAGTAGTCTTCCTTATGAAGTAGAATTTCTTCCAATCAGGTATGAAGGGATAGGCCTTTGGGCTCCAAAACTGGGTCAAATGTTTTTCCATCATAGGTAGGTTCTGATTAAACTGAAGAGTGGTCAAGTGTGTATGCAAAGAGCTTTTGGGCAATATTTTGCTCACCAGTTAAATTATCCTGGCCCACTCTCCTGGTATTCTGTGGTTTGCTATCCATTTGGTTTGGCATCATGTAAAGTATCAGACAGCATTAGCTTTTTTCCAGTCAATAACTTGCATGTGATCTTTGATTTTTCAAAAGCATCTCCAAGGAACTTTACATCACTAATATTAACAAATATAGTAATCAGACACTATAAACATAACTCAGTGTGCCTGCTTACCTACCTTCTTGCGTGCCTTTTTACAGCCCAGTTTATTGTTTTCTCCCTTTTCTGTTATGTTTTCATTTACTGTAATTATCACATTTTAATATTGAATCATTATTTAGAAGTGTTTACTAAGCTCCTAAAGCTGTATTTGACAAAGCCAGTAGGGAGCAGGCAGGCTATCTCAGTGGCAACAAAACTTTCCTGTTTTCCTGTTTTCGTTGGAGGGACAGCATCGATTTATATGGTTATTGAACAATTGATTTTTTAAAAAAAATGTCCAGTTACTTTGCCAGTACATTATTTCTGAGCACTTGAAAAATGAGCCATTTCTTTCCAGCCTAATCAAACTAATTTAAACGTACTTTTATTTAAGAATTAGTCTGCTTCAACATTCTCCATAAGTTGCTGTCTTCTCTACAGTGTCTTGTGTATTATACATTACATCAACTAGGTTAGTTTGCTCAGTTCTTTGCTGCAATTTTTTTGTTTGTTTGTTTTTGGTCATTACAGTGATGTGTTGCTGTCTCTGATTATTTCAGGAACTAAGTAATATCTGCTTAGCATGTATGGGAGCAACTTGATTAAATACATTTTATGTAATTTAGTCACAGAATTGTTTGTTGTTTGATCAATGGATGTAAATTTCTGAACAAATGCAAAAATATATCTGAAGCAAGAAAGCATATTTTTTTCCACTAATGTGTATATGTGCCATACCTGGTATCATCTTACAAGAGACATTCTCTTCCTTTGTGAAAAAAAGGTATGATGGTTGTATTGCTCGATGTGTAGCTTGCTATCTACATTTTAGAATTTTTTAAATTGCTGCCCAATTAATTTAAATGCCTTAAATTATATGTTGCCAAACCAGTTAACACATCCAGTTTATTTATGTTACAGCCCTAAAGAGAGTAATTTTTATTTATTACGTGTAAATAAACAGAGTATTTTAAATTTGAAGTACAATAATATCATAGATAGCTTATGGGATAGTGTATTTATTGGTTTCTCTGAGTCATGAAAACAAAGTAGAGCAGTAATTTCAGGAATGCTTATGATCCGTACAGTTGGTATGTAGGAAATGCTTTGACCCCTCAGTCCATCCATGCTGGGATGTGTTCATGGAATTCTTCCTGTGCAGAGAAGAAGAATGTCTTGAGGAAACAGTACCTGCCATTTTTGACACATTTGCCAGGCACTACAGAGGCTATGAATTTCTTCTACCTGGACTTGCTTTTGTAATTGTGTAGCTAGTCCCCATCTGCTACTATTTTTGTAATTATTTCAGTTTTGCAAATAAGCCCATAAAATTAATAGCCTGTAAACAAACAACCTGGCACCATCTTCTATGGCCAGTATGGAAATTCAGGCTTCTTTGGTGGTACAGTAAATGTACCACTAAACGTGAGCAATGTAACAGAAGAAAATGTGTTCTACCAGACAGGTGAAAGTATGGTCTGCTTCTGTACTCCAGTCCTCTGTCTTTCTTTGGTGGTGTAGAGGAAGAGTTTTGCAAGAAGTTTGGCGACGTAGGAGGACTGGCAGAGGAAAAATGGTGAAAGCTCTTCATCCCTCATCACTCACTTTTTCCATATGGAATGTCTGGTCACATGCAGATATCAGCTCAATTTTAATGTTATTTTGCAGCTTTTGATGACTGCCTTTGAAACAGTATTGTCCTCATGGTTAGACTACTGCAAGGTGCTTTGTGTCGGAATTTCCTTGAGGATAGTTCAAAAGCTGTACTGTACATGATATGGAATGCTACAAACTGGATGGTAAAGGTGCATTATTAGGTACATACAGTGTTGCCTTGCAAGACGAAAATAATTCATTCCGCGAGTCCTGTCGTCTTGCGAAATTTTCATCTTGCAAGGTACATTTTCCGATAGGAATGCATTGAAATTTAATTAATGCATTCCTGTGGGCCAAAAAACTCTGAAAAAGTCACCAGGTAGGGAGCTGGGGAAGCATCATCTGAGGACTGGCAGGGGTTCCCCGCAACCGTGATCGCTGCTTTCAGAGGTCCCCTGACAGTCCTCCGATGGTGCTGGGGAAGTCATCAGGGGCTTCTGAAGCCGGCGATTGTGGTTGTGGGGGACCTCCGCCAGTCCTCCAGTGGTGCAGAGGAAGCCTTCGAAGTCTTGCCCAGCACCATCGGAGGACTGGCGAGGGTCCCCAACAACTGCGATTGCCGGTTTCCAAAGCCCCTGAAGACTTCCCCAGCATCATTTTTGAATTTCCCGTCCTTTCCCCCTGCCTTTTTCCATTTGGAGGCTTGCTGAGCATCATCAGAGGCAAGCCTCTGAACGGAAAAGGGCAGGGGAAAAGTTTGGGAAATTCAAAAACGATGCTGGGGAAGTCTTCAGAGGCTTGCCCAGCACCATCGGAGGACTGCCGGGGGACCTCTGAAAGCGGCGATCGTGGTTGCAGGGGACCCCCGCCAGTCTGAATTAATTTGGTAAATAAATGGAAATGTGGCATATACTCTAGTCATTTGTCTTATTTGAAATGCAGCTAAAATGCTTTGGCTTCTAAACTTCTGTCTCCATAAGTAGTTCATTTGTGGAGCAGTCCCCCTTTTAAAAAATTGGCAGGTGAGCCCCTCTCCCCATAGTCACATGTCGCTACTGCTATCTCATAATATCCTAGAAAACATAATAGCTCCACTGTAAATATAAATTGTGATGATTTTTCTTGGGAAACTGACAGAATGGGGAACAGGTGCATGGGAATCATTATGTACTTATTGTAACCAATCTGCATTATACCTATGAGTGAGAGAACAGGGACTGGCTTGAAATGCTGTGAGAGTTACAATTTGCTTTAGTCATATGTCATTCGACACCCAACATACAAATGAAAGATGCAGATTTAGACTAATAAGAAATTGTGTGTTAAATAAAAAAGTAGTGTTAATACACAGACATATGTAACATCTGAACTCTTCCCCAGCTCTGACAGAATTGCAGTAAATTAATTGGTTGGCTTTAGAATCCAGAAGACTTGTCAGCACTCTTTCATATGCAGGCTTCAACTTATGTTTCATTTCATGTTTGTTAGGAATTAACTTTTCAAACTAAAGCTTTTTTGAGAAAAAAAACTCAGATAAGAAAGCTCAGAAGACAAGTGCACTGATCTGCCTGTGTGTTTAAGTAGGCTGGTTGCATGCAGATATACAATAATTTGAGTTCTTTTTTTTTCGCAGAGCAAGCAGTATGCTTTGACTGCAGAAATGGGAAACATGAAGATGGCTTATTACCTATATTAAAATGGATTATTTATTACTAAAGGTAAAGAGGAAACGGATTCTTTTTGTAATTCCATCTCTCATATAGCTGTGTAACTCACATTGCATCCTTAATATTGTATCAAAGGGGTAACCTGTATTTTATCTGCTGAGTTGGCAGAATTATTAGAGCAAGACTTTTCAGTCTTTATTTTTATATGTTATTGGTGGAGAATGAGATTTCAGAAGCTACAAAGAACATCAGCCATTATGCACTGGGCAAAAGGACCCTGAAAAAGTATTTTGCAAACTATGCCTCCCCCTGATCTGAAATGTGGGGTGATTGCTAGCTAGCCAGCCATGCCCTTTTCCAAGGTATGGTTAAGGTGCTGGGGGGAACAGCCCAATCCCCCCTCATTCTTTTGCAACTGACACTCAACATTTCATGGCTCCTGCAGGCCATTGGGGGGTTCTATTCTTGGTGGGTTGGGTTAAGGTGTGGATCCTTAGAGTGAGTGCTATCTTTTTTTAATTGTATGCCTTTGTCCTTCAGTACTTACCTGAGCATTCTGATAGTTTCCTGTTGTTTCTTAGTCACCATGTTTTGACTCAAATCCTGTTGGCTCTCAATTATTTCAGTTCACTGTTATATGGTGATTCATTAGGGAGAGGATGGTAGTGCTTTTTACTTGCTATCTTAACACATGGCTTTGTGGTTCAGGTTGTTCTTAAGGCACAGTAACAGAAAAGCCATTGGATTACTTTTATCATAAAACAAACTATTATTTAGTGTTACAGAATTGAGCAATTGCATGCCTCACGCATGCACACTCCCCTTTATAGCCAGAAAGAACTAATGGGAACTTTCGTTTCTTAATAAAGTGGGATTATAAACCTGATTATCAATGTGTTGTTACTGGCTTCTTTGAACACATTATACTCTAAAGTGAACAGAGTTTTCCTGATGTAATGAGGAACTTGGGGCAGATTAAAAATGTTAACAGATGCTCCCAATCACTTTGTCTTGGCTACATTGGAGTAAGGCAGTGGATGGAGGAGCCCACAAGCCCAATGATTATTGTTGTTCATGTACTAAATAAAATTTAGGACGGGAAACTCTGGCTGCCAGTTCCCATTAGGTGCATTCAGAATAGCCAGTGATAAAGGGTTGTGAGAATTCTAGTACAAATCATGGGTGGAAGGGGCCCCATCAGTGTGCTGAACCTTCTAGTGTTGTGTTCTGAAAGATTCAGCCTTAATGACTGTTTTTGTTGTGTAGCTACGCAATAGAATTTGTGTGCTTTTCTCACTTAAAATACATGCAACTTGTTTTTTACTCCCACTGAATTTGATGTGGTTTACTTTTTAACAGGTGTTCTCAAGACTGTCACTTTCAATGAGCAGAATTATTTCTTTTTATTTCTCTATACAGTACAGTATTTTGTACTGTGCTTCTGTTGTTTTTAAATTTAAACATCCATTTCTATCCCAGGTCCAGGCAGATAGTATAACAGGAGTCATGTAGGACCTTTTATTTAGGGACATAGATGTAAGTAGTAGAAGAGTTGTTAAAGGCTCATGTCAGATTGTTGGCTACATCTCAAGTATTTTGTCTTCCTTTTCAGTAAATAAGGTGCTGACATCTGTTCTCCAGCTTCTACATCTCTATAAAAATGAGTGAAGTACAAGCAATGGTAGAATTCTCTGTGGAGCTGCACAAATTTTATAATGTGGATTTGTTTCAAAGAGGGTAAGTACTGGACACTCATACCCTGCACTTTGAGGGTCTATTAGGTGTTGTGATTGCATTACTGTTGTAAAGAATTTGAGTCCTAAGGGAAAAGGTAGGTAGGTCATAGAATGGGATAGACTATTGTGATCCTACTAGCTTTCTTCTCCCTTGCTTAGAACTCCAGTGTTTGTAACAGTGAGCAGGGCCAGAGAAATGGCTGCAACTGCTGTACAGAAAGAGATACTACAGGGATCTGAACAACATGTTTTTGAAGGGGGAATTTGGTTGCATTGAAAATTACAGAAGATATGTCCATACTTAATCATACACAGTGATCCATATAGAAGAGCTGTAGATACTATCTGTTTGATCTTCTGGTGTTCATGGTGCTTGGATTGTATCTTATTTTTCCTGGCTTTCCAAAAGTTGGGAAGATATCCAGTGGACAACTGTGTGTGTGTTTGATTTTTCTAAGCCATCTTTCTGCAGAAGAAACTATTCTAGTTGGAAAAAGTTTAGTATTGGTCTGTAACCTGTGACATTTTAGGATTGGACTGAGCACTGACTATAACACTTAACTACTCACAGCACTTTTGTGCTGTCTCAGTGTGTGAAGGGCAGACTTTGTTTCACTGTATGATTTGAGTAACTTGAATCACAGGAGTGCAGTGCAGTCTTTTAGACATGAGTTCCATACAATAAATTAGGGCATCAGTTTCTAGAACTGATGGAAAATACCAAGAAACTTCAGAGGGCCCAAAAGACAGCAGTAAGATTGCTTACTGGAGCTGGTTACAGTGTACCTTGGCTCAATGATCTCTGACGCCCTCTCCCTAGATGTTGGGCTGGATAAACGCATTGGCAAAGCAGCTACCATGTTCTCCAGACTCACAAAGAGAGTATGGCTTAGTAAGAAGCTGATGGCATATACCAAGATCCAGGTCTATAGAACCTATGTCCTGAGAACACTCCTGTACTGCAGTGAGTCCTGGACACTTTGTACACGGCAGGAGAGGAAGCTGAACACATTCCATATGCGTTGTCTCTGATGCATTTTGGTATCACCTGGCAAGACAAAGTTCCTAACAGAGTAGTCCTAGAATGAGCTGGAATTGTTAGCATGTATACATTACTGAAACAGTGATGTCTGTATTGGCTTGGGCATGTTGTGAGAATGGCTGATGGTCAGATTCCAAAATATCACCTGTATGGAGAATTAGTGCAGGGAAAGCACCCCAGAGGGAGACCACAGCTGTGACACAAGGATATCTGCAAGCGGGATCTGAAGGCCTTAGGAATGGACCTCAACAGATGGGAAACTTTGACATCTGAGCGTTCAGCCTGGAGGCAGGTGGTGCAGCATAGCTCTCCCTATTTGAAGAGACACTTGTTCAGCAGGCCAAGGCAAAGAGGCAGTCTCAAAACCGGTCAAATCAGGGAGCTGGACAGGGGACAGATTATATTTGTCTTCAGTGTGGAAGGGATTGTCACTCTCGAATTGGCCTTCTCAGCCACTCTAGACTCTGTTCCAAGACCTCTATTCAGAGCATGTTACCATAGTCTTCTACTACTACTATTCTATTGTTCAAAGACATTTCTAATTGAATTAGACAAAGTATCTCTTTGAGCCCCATGGCACAGTGAGTAATCTGCAGTACTGCAGTCAAGCTTCTCCTCATAACCTGAGTTTGATCCCGATGGATTCAAGTAGCTGGCTCAAGGTTGACTCAGCCTTCCATACTTCCAGGGTCAATAAAACGAGTATCCAGCTTGCTGGAAGGCAAAGTGTTTCTTGCATAATTACATTGTAAACCACCCAGAAGACACTCTAGTACTATAGGACAGTATGTAAGTCAAAATAATAACAATAATCTACATCTTTATGGTTTCTTGTCTGGATTCATGTGGGGGAAGCCAGCCTGGGTGCCAGCTGTGTCCACACAGAGACAGTATTGTAAGCCACAGAGCAAACCTCTGCTTTGTGTAATAGCTTCCACTACAGATAGGCACAATAAGGCAGTTTGCATCATAACATTCCTTGTAACAAGCAAGCCAAGGTGCTAGTAGTCCCCTGCCATTCATGTTATGAATGCTGAGTTGGGTTTTAGCATCTCTTTGCTTTGAATCAAGGAATGTATTTAAAAGATTTATTCTCATTTTCTCAAATAATGCAACTTCAGCTCTCTCCCCATCCCTTAAAACGCCAGTTGAAGAAATGTACTATTAATCATAAAAGAGCAGTACGTTTTAAAAACTGTATTGTCCTGCTTTCCTTTCATTCCCGCAGAAAGTCAAGGAGCTCCTTTTGACTATTCCTGCAAGCAGCATCGCTAGGCAGTCATTTTTGTATGAGCTATTTATTTCTAGGTTCTCAGGCATTACTTTAAGCGGTTTTATGCAGACATATGCTTCTATCCTTATCTATTTTGGAATAAGATAGGAATGTATTTTGAAACTTGTAAAAACAAAACACCAGGGGTCGCTTTTCACATTATTTTATGCATTTTGTTTGTAGGTATGGGCAGAGCAAATGATTTAAACTTCATTTAAATTTTACAGATTCTTTGTTTAAATAGATTTTCTGGGCAGAAAACTCTTTTCAGCACTTGACCAGTGGTGTTTAGTTTAATGGAAATATAGTGAATTGCTTTTTTCAGAGACCTTTGAGTTTATGTCATATTTTGCAGTGCTAAATTAAACCACAGTTTCACAGTTCTGATGCCACTGGAAGCTGCAACATAACAAATCTTGTATCTCATTATAGCATGAATCATGAGGACAGAGGGAAAGAAAAAAGGGTGCATACAGGCATAGCTTTCGTTTTGAGTTCAATAAAACCTTGTTTATTACACGAAAATAATAACATCTGGAGTGACATTTACCATCTTATTTGAATACAAATATGCCTTTCTCACTTTATTTTAAAACGTGACTCTTGTTTCATGTTGCCTTGGTAGCTCTCTTGATCTGGCATGAACTTTACTGACATATTTTTTCTTTATGTAGCACTGTGTCATGAGATGTCTGACATTTTTAATCTCCATTCTATGGCTCATAAAGGAAAATGCTGATGTGGTACTGAAAAAGTTTGTTAAGTCACTAGAAAGATCTGGAGCTAGTAAAATAAAGTGAAAGGTTACTTCTGGAAGGTAATATACAGTGGAACCTCGACTTACGAACATCCCTACCTAGGAACATTTCGACTTACGGACCGCTCCGTTCACAAAATTTTGCTTCGACTTGTGAATGGAGCTTCGTCTTACAAACACAAAAAGGCGGGGGGGGGAAAAGGCAGGAAATTTGAATTTACTGTACTAACTGTTGGTGGCGAAGAGGCTGCTTCTTTGTAGTTCTTTCGTCCCAACAGTTAGGGAAAGGGATGTGGTGGGGGTAGCCCAGAGCCAGGAGTCTTGAGCCTCCTGGGTGTTCTGGTGGGGGCAGAGATGACTCAGAGCCAGGAGTCTTGAGCCTGGTGGGGGCAGTGGGGGCAGAGGTGACCCAGAGTCAGGAGGCTTGAGCCTCCCGGGTGCTCTGATGGCAGCAGTGGGGCGGCGGAGGCAGCGTTAGCCGGGAGGCTTGATCTGGCTGGGCGCTTGGCCGCTCGCCCCCGGCCGTGGGGGAGGCAGCGGAGCACTGAGAGGCTTGAGCTGGCCAGGTTTCTTCAGCTGTTCGCCTCCCGGCTCGCCTCCTACTCGCTCCTTGCCGCCCTCCACCATTTCAATTTCCCGCCACTGGAAGGCAAGCTGGGAGCACCCCCGCCAGGCTCAAGCCTGTTGCCGGTGGTGGTCACAGCAGCAGTGGAAGCCCGGGAGGCTGAGGAGGCTTCGGACTGGTAAGATGCTGCTTTTTCCTTTTTAAAAAACTGTTCTGGGTGGGTTTTGGAGGGTGGGTTTGGACTGGGGGGTTATGTTTCTGTTCTGTGTTGTCGTTTTTGGATTTGTATGTGTGTGTTTTTTTCAGTCCCAGCATGGGACTTGCTCTGTTTATTTTTATTTCTATTTTTGGTATTTTTTTTAAATGCTGGAATGGATTAATCCCGTTCCCATGCATTTCAATGGGAAATGGTGCTTCAATTTACAAACATTTCGACTTAATGAACGTCGTTCCAATATAGATTAAGTTCGTAAGTCGAAGTGCCACTGTATTTTGAGATGAAAAATCTCCAGTTCCACCTGCTAATATCTAATTCAGTATTGTAATTTATTGTATGCACAGTAATTGAGGGACGTGTAGCAAATTGAGGGTTGGTGGAAATTTCCCATACTGATTTACCTTGTATGAATTGATTGTCTTAGGCTGAGAGAGTTCGCAGACTGATAGTAAACATTCACAAAGTGTGTGAAGCTGCAGTTTTAATATAAAACAGACCTTATGTTTCAAAAGTATAGCCAGTGGTTGTACTTTTCATCAGAGGATATCATACAGTTTTCCAGCTGTTTCTCTCACTAAGTTGCTTTCTTTATATCCGTCAGGACACATTGGTATGCATTTTCTTTTGAATAGCCTTTGCAATTAATTTGTGAAATATTACCTTGTATGAATTGATTATCTTAGGCTGAGAGAGTTCGCAGACTGATAGTAAACATTCACAAAGTGTGTGAAGCTGCAGTTTTAATATAAAACAGACCTTATGTTTCAAAAGTATAGCCAGTGGTTGTACTTTTCATCAGAGGATATCATACAGTTTTCCAGCTGTTTCTCTCACTAAGTTGCTTTCTTTATATCCGTCAGGACACATTGGCATGCATTTTCTTTTGAATAGCCTTTGCAATTAATTTGTGAAATATTGATGATTAGATACATATTTCAGAGTCTTCAAAGAAAATACACATTTTCTCTTCATTTTGCAGTCCCATTTAATAAATGCAAGCTGCCATTTATTTTTTCAAGGAAACTTAGTCTATATATATTGTAATTTGGAAGTTAGTAATATTTTCAGTTAAAGTAAAAGCACTGGAACCAAACTGGCATAAAAAATAAGAAAGGTCAGATCCTATTGGTATTGTGGAAGATCTAAAAACTGTTCTTCATAGTCGAGTGTCCTTGCAGCAACTCTAAGCAATAATATGCTGCATCCAAACAGCCAGAGTTCTAAAGCCAATAAATTCTTCTCCTTCTTACTACTTACTTTCCCATTTATTTAATCTTGACTGATCAGCAATAGCAATCTGTACTTTTCATTTTTCACTAGATGACCTGATTATTCTGCGTCTCTTGATTTTATGCATTTATGATTTCTTGGTCTCCGTTCATTTACCTTAGTGCTGCTTCACTGGTCATCTTCTAAATCAAAGAAATCCACATTGCAGTTGCTTTCATCTTCTTCATGGCAGCCCATTTTAACCATACAGTATAGAACTGAAAATACAAAACACCTTTCTGTTTGTATTCCCAAAGCTATTTTTAAGTTTTGCTGCAAATTTTTATCACATTCTTCATCTTCAAGAAGCTTCTTAGGGTTGTCTTTATGCTGACATCTACTGCATGGCTGTGCTGCAGCTGTTCACTATTCGGTGTTTGTTCTTCAGACAGTTTCAAGGTGTTACCATTTGTCAGAACAATTAATATTTTCACTTTGGGTCTTCAACTTCATATTTGGCCTGTTTTCTTTTTTACAGATCATGATGAACTTGGTTTTCTTAACATTCATTTTAGACTATGTCCTTTATTTACTTTGTTGACTTTTACTGAGTAATATTTACTGAGTATTTAACTCATCAGCTGGTAATACAGTGGTGCCTCGCACAACGAGTGCACCGTAGAACGACGAATCCGCACAACGGGGCAGTTCTAGCGATCGCAAATGCGATTGCACACCGACGCCCCCTATGGTTCAAAATCGCAGAGCGAAGGTCAGTAAGCGGTTCGCTTACCGACCTTCGCTTTGCGACCCGCCGATCAGCTGTTCGGCGGCTTCAAAATGACCGCCAGAAGCCCCAAAATGGCCACGCGCAGCGTTTTCGCGCCCTCATTAAGCGAGGGGAGGGCGCGAAAATGGCTGCCGGCCATCGGAGAAACATCGCTGTACGGTGAGTAAAGCTGCTATTGGAACGCATTAAACTAAGTTTAATGCGTTCCAATGGCTTTTTTTGATCCGTACAGCGATGTTTTCACACAGCGAGGGTTAATCCGGAACGGATTAACCTCGCTGTGCGAGGCACCACTGTAATTGTATCATCTGCAAATCAGATGTTATTGGTAACATCTCCATTGACAGTCATGCAAACATTTCAATCATTGTCTCTCTAAAGGTGTTTTTAGTGTATCAACAGAAAAGGAGGAACAAGAGGACACATTCATATTGTCCTCTTCATATCTCTATGTCCTCTGGTCTTTAACTTTCATTACAGCTTTTTGATGCTAGTACAGATTGTCAGTCATACAAATAGCTTTTTAATCCATATCTTGTTTTCCAACAATTCTGCTAGGCTGCTCTGCTGACTTAGTTAAAGGCTTCCTTTAGTAGTAATTAGAGCAAGCATCCATACCCATGTTATGTCATGACATCATAGCTGAAATACTGTACATGTATACCATCACTTCCCAGGTACATGCAGTTAGATGTCTCCTGCCTTTTTTTTACACGTCTTGTAAATTCTGCCATATATTTTAATGGAATCCTTAAGCAAATGTTTCATAAAGCAACTAATGCCTCATTAGTTTATTAAATTAACATTTTATTTAATCAATTACTTTCTGAAAGCCTTTACCCTGATTTATTGCAATTCTTTAAAAATGTAAAAACATAGCTACCCTCTGCAAAATTAGTGTGCTTTGTATTTAGAGGAGAATGGAATTTTAGCTTGTTGACATACCTATCCTGAATTGACCCATATGAGATTATCATGTTAGGATTAGCAGATAGATACATACATTATATATTAAAAACTATACTGTTTTATAACACCAAAATCTTCATTGTGTATTAGAAATCCAGCTGCCTTTGTATTGTTTAGTAATGATATTTGGATTAAGATTATCACATGGGATCTATGTCCTGGGCCCCAAACTGAGAATTATTAGCAAACAGAAAACTTAAAAATAAACAAGGCAGTTTCCCTACACACAGTATAATGTAGATGCATCTTCGTAAACTCTCGTGACTGATTAGAGAAATATTTGGTTGCCCTCAAATTAATGAGGCCAGAGAGTATGCAAAAGAGGTTGGAATAGTGCCATAATAGCTTAGTCCAGGGCATCTCAGTAACAAAATGTAAAATTTCTGAAGTGAAACCGTAGAATAACTTCAATTAACTTCTCTTCAGATGAGTAATATGAACAAATAATTTCAGGAAATCAATGGGCTGCATGAGGGGAAATTTAGGTCTAGAAAGTACCAGTTCAGAAGGTAAGATTTCTTCCCAACTCAGAGATGTCAATAATTATTGCATGAGGTTGTAGGAGCTTGAGAGAGCACTAGCAGTCTTTACCACTTGAAGTGAAAGACCATGGAGAGAGCTGAGAGCTAATCACTATAAGTAGATCTGTGGGGAACCCTGTGGAATAGACTTTATTTGTCCTTATAAATAATATTGTTTTTATTCTCCTTTTTAATGCTAACAAGGTTAGTTTGTTACATCAGTTTATTTGTATAAAGTATAAATATTCAGTTTTATTTGTACTGAATGAATCATTATCCTTAATGTGGCTAAGATCCAACCATGTATGTCAGTATCAAATGCCAGCAGAGTAGAAACTTCCTTCTCCTACCCTTCCTATTGCTGTCCCGTATGATGCCAAAATACATGCTGCAGAGGGTTTCCTAAAAAGGTACTGCGGGAAGGTGAGGTTGTTGACCTTGTAGAAACAGTGGGATCCAGCGAAAGCACATCAGTGGTTATCTGTAATCATTTGTTTTGTTTTTTCAAACTTTGTATTTCCTGCTATTCAGTTGTGCGCCACTTCCGATGCACTCTTGTGGAAAGGTAACAAAGAAGTAAATAGATGATGACAAGATACATTTTACCTATATCACAGTTTAAATCGCTACTAAAAACCCCTCAGTGTGTTTCCTCCTCCCCCTGAATATATTTTTTCACAATACATATTTTTCCACAATCTCCTTGCCCAGAGGGTCTCTACCTCCAGTAATTCTCTCTCTGTTCATTGACACTTCCGGTGTTTGAAAATTTGCCCTGGGCAATGAAATTGTGGAAAATATAAATATAGCCAGAATATGGCAAGCAGAGATGCACTGAGGGTAGGGGTGAGGATGGAAATCATATGACTAAATTCATATCTACTCTGTTTTCTGCCAGAGGATGCACCTCCAAAGAAAGAGGTTAAAAACCCCAGCTTCTCTATACAAAGTTGCAGAGGGACAGTAGCTAGCGTTCTACTCTAAAGAAATCAGCATCACTCAAGCAAACTCCTGAAAATATAGAGCTTCCAAAAATAATCAACATGATTAAAATGTTAGGATAAAAAAAGACTCTAGGAATAACTTCAGCAGGAATTGGAAGATGGGTCTAATTACTTCTCATGTCCAAATATTGTTGTCAAGTGTAGACATAAATCCAGTTGGAAAACTTCATTTTTTCCTGATACCTACTAGGCTGTTAGGGGACGTGTTTTCTGTAATTGGTAATGGATTATTTCAGTTGCTTTTAATAGCAATGTGATTTGCTGATCTGCTACATAATTATTTTTATGATGGGGTCTTTCATGGACTTTGTAAGCAGTCTTGAACACCATGTTTGGAGGGAAGATGGGGTAAAACGTTTGAAATGAATATTTTGCTATAGTAAACAGCATATGTTTGGGAATAATTTTGTCTGTTGTAGCTTTTACCAGATTCGTGTATCTATGAAGATTCCTCCAAGAGTTCCACATAAAATTGAAGCAAGCTTACTACGTGCGGCCAGTAAGTATGAACATTTTCATGTCTGTTTCGGTTTTTCAAGACTATGTGGTAATTTTATTGCCACTGTCAGTTAGCTGAAGGTGTGTTAAGTAGTTAAGCACCTGGCTTCTAATGGATTGAGTGGTTGATTTTAGTATATGTGAAAAACCTCAATAAATACATTTTAAATTAATTGAAAAAATGTAAAAACCTATGATCTAATAGTCAACAGCTAGCAATTTTGTTCGTATGAATACTTCTTACAGTGTGTGTAAACTTGGAGATCATGTATGCAAATATTAATATAAGGCTGTTATAAGGTTGCACAAAATGACTGGGTCTTGACAAAACCCTTAATTCTTAGATAAATCTTACTTTATTCAAATAATGAAGTGGTAGTATTACTATATTTAACAAGCATTCTAAGGGGGCTTCTGAAAATTTGGGAGGGGAGAGGTGGTCAGGAATTGAAGGGTAGTTGTCTATTGCAGCATTAGCGGAGCTTATGTCCATCAGATAAGCTCTTTCTGATCCTTGGCTTAGACAAACACTGTCAGCATAATATTCTTTTTAATCTGTTAACTGCACTTGATAGTACTTCTTACCCACCAATGACTGACTATTCAAGAACTCTCACTGACCACTGTTAAGATCTGTACTTGTCATGTCTATGTGACTGTTAAAATATCTTAATGGAAATTTCTTAAACCAAGAGTGCAAGCTGCATACACTCTCCCTAAGACTAGCCAGAGCAACTAAAAATAAATAAATAAGAGAATGGCGATATCCGCTCCTGAGCTGGCTGGGTAGTTCAGTGAGTTAGGTATCTGGCTGTGAAGCCAGAGGTTGAAAGCTCAATGTCCCACTGTGCCTCCCAGAAAAGCCAGCCTGTACAGCCTTGAACAAGCTGCACAGTGGTTGTTGTGGGTTTTTCGGGCTCTTTGGCCGTGTACTGAAGGTTGTTCTTCCTAACGTTCCACCAGTCTCAGTGGCCGGCATCTTCAGAGGACAGCACTCTGTGCTCTGGTATAGTTGGCTGGAGAGTGCAGTATTTATGGCTGTGAGATAGGCTTTTGTTTTTTTCTGTAGATGGGTGATTACTGTGTATTGTTGTGGGTGTATTGTTGTGCTAAGGAGAAGAGATCATCGGTCACTGTGGTTGATAGGTGTCATTAGCTGGTCTTTTAGGTGTAGTGATCCCTGGTCCTTGTGGCTGGGTAGAGTTCGTTGACCTTTTGCACTCTGTATTTTTGAGAGCTGGGAGCCAAGTTTTGTTGAGGTTCACACTTTCCTCTTTTTTATTTATTTATTTATTTATTTATTTAATTTATACCCCGCCTATCTGGCCCACTGGACCACTCTAGGCGGCTTCCAAA